TGGGTGGGGATGCCCGCCTGGTACGTGGCCGCGTGCCGAGCCAACGTTCGCAGCGGGGGGGTCCTGGCCAATCTCTCGGACCCCGAGATCCAACGGGAATTGGGAATTTCCCACCCCCTGCACCGCCTGAAACTGCGCCTGGCGGTGAGAGAGATGGTGTCCCTGACCAGCCCCAGCGCCCCGCCCTCGTCCAGAACTGTGAGTCCAAAAAAATCCCCAAAATTCCGAAATTTATAGCCAAAAAATCCCAGAATTACAGCCAAAAAATCCCCAAAGTTACAGCCCAAAATCCCCAAAGTTACAGGCAAAAAATCCCAAATTTATACCCAAAAAATCCCCAAAATCCCGACATTTATACCCCAAAAATCCCCAAAGTTACAGCCAAAAAATCCCTAAAGTTAGACTCAAAAAATCCCAAATTTATACCCAAAAAATCCCAAATGTTTGGGGATGGTGTCCCTGACCAGCCCCAGCGCCCCGCCCTCGTCCAGAACTGTGAGTGACAAAAAATCCCAAATTTATACCCAAAAAATAAAAAAAATCCCGAAATTTATACCCCAAAAATCCCCAAAGTTACAGCCAAAAATCCCCAAAGTTACAGGCAAAAAATCCCAAATTTATACCCAAAAAATCAAAAAAATCCCGACATTTATACCCCCAAAATCCCCAAAGTTACAGCCAAAAAATCCCTAAAGTTAGACCCAAAAAATCCCAAATTTATACCCAAAAAATCCCCATATTACAGCCAAAATATCCCCAAAGTTACAGCCAAAAATCCCCAAAGTTACAGGCAAAAAATCCCAAATTTATACCCAAAAAATCTAAAAAATCCCGAAATTTATACCCCAAAAATCCCCACATTTATACCCAAAAAAATCCCAGAATTACAGCCAAAAAATCCTCAAAGTTACAGCCAAAAAATTCCAAATTTATACAAAAAAAATCCCGAAATTACAGCCAAAAATCCCCAAATTTACACCCAAAAAATCCCCAAATGTTTGGGGATGGTGTCCCTGACCAGCCCCAGCGCCCCGCCCTCGTCCAGAACTGTGAGTCAAAAAAAATCCCAAATTTATACCCAAAAAATCCCAAATTTATACCCAAAAAATCCCAGAATTACAGCCAAAAAATCCCCAAAGTTACAGGCAAAAAATCCCAAATTTATACCCAAAAAATCCCCAAAATCCCGAAATTTATACCCAAAAAATCCTGAAATTATAGCCAAAAATTCCCCAAATTTATACCCAAAAAATCCCAGAATTATAGCCAAAATATCCCCAAAGTTAGACCCAAAAATCCCCAAAGTTACAGGCAAAAAATCCCAAATTTATACCCAAAAAATCAAAAAAATCCCGAAATTTATACCCCAAAAATCCCCATATTACAGCCAAAAAATCCCCAAATTTATACCCAAAAAATCCCAAATTTATACCCAAAAAATCCCAGAATTATAGCCAAAAAATCCCCAAAGTTACAGCCAAAAATCCCCAAAGTTACAGGGAAAAAATCCCAAATTTATACCCAAAAAATAAAAAAAATCCCAAATTTATACCCAAAAAATCCTGAAATTATAGCCAAAAATTCCCCAAATTTATACCCAAAAAATCCCAGAATTACAGCCAAAAAATCCCTAAAGTTAGACCCAAAAATCCTCAAAGTTACAGGCAAAAAATCCCAAATTTATACCAAAAAATCCCAAATTTATACCCAAAAAATCTAAAAAATCCCGAAATTTATACCCCCAAAATCCCCACATTTATACCCAAAAAAATCCCAGAATTACAGCCAAAAAATCCTCAAAGTTACAGCCAAAAAATTCCAAATTTATACCAAAAAAATCCCGAAATTACACCCAAAAATCCCCAAATTTACACCCAAAAATCCCCAAATGTTTGGGGATGGTGTCCCTGACCAGCCCCAGCGCCCCGCCCTCGTCCAGAACTGTGAGTCCAAAAAATCCCCAAAATTCCGAAATTTATAGCCAAAAAATCCCTAAAGTTAGACCCAAAAATCCCCAAAGTTACAGCCAAAAATCCCAAATTTATACCCAAAAAATCCTAAATTTATACCCAAAAAAATCCCAGAATTATAGCCAAAAAATCCCCAAAGTTACAGGCAAAAAATCCCAAATTTATAACCAAAAAATCAAAAAAATCCCGAAATTTATACCCAAAAAATCCTGAAATTATAGCCAAAAATTCCCCAAATTTATACCCAAAAAATCCCAAATTTATACACAAAAAATCAAAAAAATCCCGACATTTATACCCCAAAAATCCCAGAATTACAGCCAAAAAATCCCAAATTTATACCCCCAAATCCCAGAACTACAGCCAAAAAATCCCAGAATTACATTCAAAAATTCCCAAAATTTATCCCCAAAAATTCCCCCAAATCCCCAAATTTATACCCCAAAAATCCCAAAATTTCAGCCAAAAAAATCCCGAAATTTTTACCTAAAAAGTCCCAAAAATCCCGAAATTTCCACCCCAAAAATCCCAAAATTGCGCCCAAAAATTCCCCAAATTTGGGATTTAATTAAGGGGAATTTATTGAGGGGGAATTAATTGAATAATTTAATTGAGGAGGATTTAATTAGGGGGATTTAATTAGGGCGAATTAATTGAGGAGGTTAATGAGGGAGATTTAATTGAGTAATTTAATTGAGGGGGATTTAATTAGGGGGATTTGATTGAGTAATTTAAGGAGAAGGATTTAATTAGGGGAATTAATTGAATCATTTAATTGAGGAGGATTTAATTAGGGGAATTAATTGAATCATTTAATTGAGGAGGATTTAATTAGGGGAATTAATTGAATAATTTAATTGAGGAGGATTTAATTAGGGGGATTTAATTGAAGGATTTAATTAGGGGAATTAATTGAGTAATTTAATTCGGGGGGTTTAATTAGGGGGGTTTAATTGAAGGGTTTAATGAGGGGGTTCGGGGGTCCCTATGACATCACTCCCCGCGTCAATGACGTCATTTTTCGCCCCGGTGACGTCATCGCCGCCGCGATGACGCAATTGCCAACCGGACGATGTGATTTCCCCATCCCGATGACGTCACCCACCACGCGATGACGACGTTTCCCGCCCCGATGACGTCACCCATCACCCGATGACGTTTTTCCCGCCCCGATGACGTCATTTCCGCCCCACCACCGCAGTGCACGGGGAACGTGTGGATGACGCACGAGGAGATGGAGTCACTTCCGGCCACGCCCAACGCGGTCAGCGCCGGATTCGGGGGAAATTTGGGGAAAATTTTGGGGAATTTGGGGCTTTTGGGACCCCCTGACCCCTCCAGGGGGGAACCTGGGGGGATTTGGGGGAAATTTGGGGGAATTTTGGGGAATTTTGGGATAAAGGATTTAGGGGGAAATTTGGGGGAGATTTGGGGAATTTTGGGAGGATTTGGGAGGGATTTGGGGAGAATTTTGGGGGATTTTGGGACCCCCTGACCCCTCCAAGGGGTATTTGGGGGGTTCTGGGGAGATTTGGGGGGAATTTGGGGGAATTTTGGGGGATTTTGGGACCCCTGACCCCCCTTTTTTTTCCCGCCCTCAGGAACCGCGGGAAATCAGCTGGGAACAGGTGAGGGGGCGGGGCTTGAGAGGGGCGGGATTTGATTGGCGGGCGGGGTTTGATTGACAGGCGGGGCTTGAGCAGGTCCTGGCAGGATTATAAAGGACTGGGGCTGCCATAGCCAGGTCCTGGCAGGGATATAAAGGACTGGGGTTACAATAACCGGGTCCTGTCAGGGATATAAAGGACTGGGGCTGCCATAGCCAGGTCCTGGCAGGGAGAGAAACCTTTAGGATTGCAATAACCGGGTCCTGGCAGGGATATAAAGGATTTGGGTTACCATAACCCGATCCTAGCAGGGATATAAAGGACTGGGGGTGCCATAGCCAGGTCCTGGCAGGATTATAAAGGTTTGGGGATGCCATAGCCAGGTCCTGTCAGGGATATAAAGAACTGGGGATGCCATAGCCAGGTCCTGTCAGGGATATAAAGGATTGGGGTTGCCAGATCCAGGTCCTGTCAGGGCTATAAATACTGCCCGCAGATCCTGGCGCACGGGGACATGAACCACGAGTGGGTGGGGAACGAGTGGCTGGGTCCTGGCAGGGAGATAAAGGTGTGGGGATGCCATAACCAGGTCCTGGCAGGATTATAAAGGATTGGGGTTACAATAACCGGGTCCTGGCAGGGATATAAAGATTCAGGGATGCCAGAGCCAGGTCCTGGCAGGATTATAAAGGATTTGGGTTACCATAACCCGATCCTAGCAGGGATATAAAGGACTGGGGGTGCCAGAGCCAGGTCCTGTCAGGGATATAAAGGTGTGAGGATGCCGTAGCCAGGTCCTGGCAGGGATATAAATATTCAGGGATGCCATAGCCAGGTCCTGGCAGGGATATAAAGGTGTGGGGGTGCCACAGCCAGGTCCTGTCAGGGATATAAATATTCAGGGATGCCATAGCCAGGTCCTGTCAGGGATATAAAGGTGTGGGGGTGCCATAGCCAGGTCCTGTCAGGGATATAAATATCGCCCGCAGATCCTGGCGCACGGGGACATGAACCACGAGTGGGTGGGGAACGAGTGGCCGGGTCCTGGCAGGGATATAAAGGATTTGGGTTACAATAACCCGATCCTAGCAGGGATATAAACCCTGGGAGGTGCCATAGCCAGGTCCTGTCAGGGCTATAAATACTGCCCGCAGATCCTGGCGCACGGGGACATGAACCACGAGTGGGTGGGGAACGAGTGGCTGCCCAGCCTGGGGCTGCCCCAGTACCGCAGTTACTTCATGGAGTCGCTGGTGGACGCCAGGATGCTCGACCACCTGAGCAAGAAGGAGCTGCGGGGGCAGCTCAAGATGGTCGATTCCTTCCACAGGTGAGCCGGGACCCCCCAGCTGGGGGGGAGGGAGCTCGGAAGTTTGGGGGGAAACGTGAAAAGTTTGGGGGAAAGGTCAAAGGTTTGGGGGAAACGTGAAAAGTTTGGGGGGAACGTGAAAAGTTTGGGGGAAACATCAAAAGTTTGGGGGGAAATGTGAAAAGTTTGGGAAAAAAACCCAAATGTTGGGGGAGAAATGTGAAAAGTTTGGGGGGAAATGTGAAAAGTTTGG